AATCGATTTATAATTAAATGAATCGATTAATATTTTAATTGCAATAAAAATTTTCTCTTGTTACTTAAGTTTATAATGCAAACTTGTAGTAGTTGTAAAAATGATTTTCCAGAATCCACTTTTAAAAAAATCAAAAATAATTTATCAAAAACTTGTATTTAGTGCTTGAATAAACGAAATAATAAAAACCATGAAATTCAAAAATTAAAAAAAGTTTCACAAAACAATGAATTTAACAATAACAACTTTGATATTGAATTGGTCAAAATTAATATTGATCAATTGTCACAATTCATTGAAGAATTTGTTGCTGCAGAAAATCAAGAATTTGAATTAAATATCTTATTTGATATTAATAGAGAAATGAATTCGGTTTCTCAAGTTGCTAAAAAATTATATGAAATTATTGAAAATAGTGACAGTTATAAATGGAAGTAAGTTTTAATTTATTAAATATATAATTTTAAGAATTTTAAAATTTTAAGAATTTTAAAATTTTAAATTTTAAAATTTTTAGTTTTTGGAAAACCAATTATTCAACTTGCTCACCTGATCAAAAAGGAACGATTTATTATTACTGCAGTCAATCTGCAATTTTAAATGATTTTAAGGATTCTAATAGAAAATGAATGTTAAGATTCGAATGTAATGGGCAAATTATTATTCGTGTCAATATGATTGATTCTAAAGCTTATATCAAGTGTAAACACCTGTTTAATCATGAGCAACCTGCTATATCTACTGGTGTTCCAAAAGAAATAATTACTGAAATACAACAAAATTGTCATCTTGATCCTTTACAACTTCGTTTCTATTTATCAGCACATTTTGATTTAAAGAATATTACGTTTAAACAAATTTATTATTGGTGGACTATTTCAATTCAATCAAAGTATCAAAAGCATAAAAATCCTATTCAATCTGCTATTCTTTTACTTCAAGAACAATTTCAAAATTGTCAATTATTAATGTCAATTAATAATAATACTTTGACTGCAATTGCTTTTTCAACACCAAATTTTCAATATCTAAAAAGTGTTAAAGAAATTCATATTGATGCAACATATAAAACATCGAAGGGGTATTTTGAGTTATATAGAATTATTGGAGAATATCAAAAAACAGGATTTGCTTTTGGTTATCTAATTTAGATATTCAAACTAATAATGGATTAGAATTATCTAAATCAGAAATTTTAACTCAATTTTTATTAAAATTTCAAATTCTTGGTCTTATGCCTGATTTTATATTTACTGACAAAGATTTTACTATAATTAATGCAGTAAAAAATGTATGGCCAAATAAGGATATTCAATTATGTCTCTGGCATTTAAAAAGAGCTATACTTACAAAAATGAAATCAAGTAAAAAACAAGAACGATATAATTCATTTACAATTACGGATTTTCAATTATTTCCATTTATTGATTCGAATTTTATTCCACAAATATATCATACTGGAGTTATTTGTCCTGTACAACATCAAAAACAAGTTTTGGATTTAATCGAATTTCACTTTAATTTATATCCACTAATTCCAATAAATCGAAATGGTGATTTTTTAACAAAAGAAGAAATATGGAAAAAGGCTGTTTATGAGATATATAACTTATGTTTCCAATTAAATAATCCAAGACTTTGGAATTATCTTTATTTTTCATGGTATATTAAAAATCGATGAAATTTATGGGCAAGGAGCAATCATTTATCAATTCCTTTTGGTAAGACTAACATGCTAATAGAATCACATTGGAAAGTGATTAAGCACGACTATTTGTATAGATTTAATCGTCCAAGAATTGATTATGTAATTTTTGTTCTTTGTGAAAAGTTAATTCCAACACAAAGTATTCGTCTTCATCAATTAGCTACAGGAAGAATAAGTCCTTATTGGTGGGAGGACTTTAAAAAGGATTGGAAAAAATATATTAAGCAAAGTAATTCCAATGAAAGATATTATACCAATACGAACTATTGGATTTGTAGTTGTATGGCATTTCTTAAAAATCGATTTTTGATTTGTAAGCACCTTATTCAGGCACTTAATAGTAACACATGTCGATTAATTTATAATGATTTTCATCGCAATCGGCAATATCCATTTTGGAGTATTAATGGATTAACAAATAGTACTGATAAAATCAATTATGAAGTCCAAGTGTTTGATGAGTCAAGTCTTTTTAATGTAATTGAAAGCGATAATGAAAATGA